TGCAAGAAATAACACTACATTACCCAACTCATCCATACAAGTCTTGAAACACTGACATGATCTCTTGCACCTGCAGGTTTACATTTAGCAATACACATTCCTAAAACATTGGCCAATGGAAAATGGTTAAAACAGAATAGTTCAGGACATGCAACCAAAGCCAAGAAGCACCGCAAGTTAACACATTATGCAATCGTACAGTTGCAAACACTTTTCTAGACCTGTCACACAGCCTGCATGATAACCATTACTGGGAAAAAAAAAAGTCTTACCCGTTACTCAAATCGCAAAGTTGGCAATTTCCACAGGAGGCTAAAGCTGCTTGCCCCTGAAGCAGGAGCCTGTTGTGTTCTCTGAATCGTCCTGTGTGGTAGCACAACAGTACTTTAGCAAACGGGAAATATTTAAACACTGACAAGAATGCATCTTTCACACTGAGAAAAAAGTAGAGAGACTGGATTAATTCAGTACATATTCACAGCAGATGCAGTTAACCAATCAACAGTCAGGCATTCTAACAGAACATTGTATTAGACTTCACACAGCCTGCATGACAAAAGCAGTACTGAGAAAGGGTCTTACCTCCAACTCATTCCGCTGGCAATTTTCACAGCAGGCTGAACTCACTTGGCCACTCCTAGGACCCCGAGGCAGGACTCTGTGGTCTTCTCTGGACCGTCCTGCGTGGAATCACAGAACTACTTTACCCAACGGGAATGTTTTCCGAACACTGATGGCAGATTTTTGCACATACAGGGAAACTGCAAATATTAAATGAAGCAATTAAAGAGGGTGGCATAGTTCAGGACATACAACTACATATTAGAAGATTCAGTTAACACATTATGCAACAGTCAGGCTCTTGACGGTTGGCAAGAGAACGTTTTATTAGACCTGAAAAAAGTCCTACCGTTCACTCAAGACTGCTGGTAATTTCTACTGTCACAGGAGGCTGAAACTGCTTGACCACTTCTGGGGATCCTCGAGGCAGTGGCGATCTCTGGACAGTCTGGCGTGAAATCACAACACTTTAGCAACTCATTCAGAAAAAAAAAAAATTGACAAGTTGGCATCTCCTTGCACACACGATAACATTTAGAAATACAAACACATTCTTAAACTATTGGCAAACAGCAAATTAAGGGTCCAAATCGTTCTGCAAGACAGACCGCTACATATTGGAAGAACAGAAACTCTGGCATGGAATACAATTAGACATTTTAGCAGAGCCACGACAAGCATTACAAAAACAATACCTGCATGAAGAGCTCAGGCCCCGCCCATCTGCTCCTCATAAGCCTCCTTTGATCTGGACTGTGCGGTCATTTAAAGTAGACAGTCCATAATCAGCAATTGCAGTGGTGTCCTACAAGATTCCAAAATACATTGACATTATATTAATCCACTTTCAATTATTTATACCCAGCTTCAACCGTAAAACATTTTTGCCGGAGAAAAAAAAAAAAAAAGAAGTAACTCTAAAATCTTTAGCAACCCCCCCCATATGAGATATATTTTGCAAATAAACTCACTTTCAGTTAAAAGGACAATATATAGTTCTTACTACTGTCAAGTTTCGTGTGTTTTTCCTGATTAACCACGGCTCTGCCCAAACTTGAAAGAGCTTTCTCTCCGGTGGACGCAAAGGACAACTCGAGAACTGTTGATCCTTTATTCCTCTTAAGGGTGGTTTGGTGGATCGGACAAAGAACAGAGCAGGTTGATGACCTTTCAAACAAAGCAAAACCCATGAATTAGTAGAGTACATTTCGATAATAACTTTCTTAAAGTAATAATAAATGCGACTGAATTCCCAAACCAAAATTATTCAGATAAACCTAGGATAAGTCTCCATTACTTAATTTAAATGACACATTTCACAAAGTAAAGCAAAGCATGAACAACAATAAATCATACTGTCCTACCAGTTGCGTCTCTGGGAGATTAGAAGCCGTGGCCACAGTGTCCTTTTCCTCAGGGCCGAGTGAGAGGGCCATCTGAGCTCTCCAAACATGTTATGCCATGCGCTTCCTGTTCGTACGCAGGCACTTCCTGTGGGTGGAATATCCATTAGCCGCATCGTCAACCCCTGCAGTCTGGGTGCGCTTTGACTGTCCGGTGTGGATATGGGCCTTGAGTTCTCTGTGCGGCTTGTGACCAGAGATTGACGCAACAAATACTTATTTTAAAAGCAATTACTGCCACTACATGCATACATAAAAAAGCTTGCAGTTTGAGATACGAGTCTGTGGTAGTGTAGTTCACTCAAGTCAGTCATACCTTTTGTTTGTACTCTATGGCACCACCAGGTTTCTTTTCAAACACATATTGAACAAACTGAAATGAGTAAATGACAAGACAATATTCAACAAAAATGAAATCCGCTACAATTCATAAGACTGTTAATAATTATAGTTGTCATGGGGGCAATCCACAAAAAGGTCAAACATTTTACACATCCACTTACCAGTTTGGCAGCTTAATTGTCCTCAAATTCAGTGGTAGAATTGAGATTAAAAGAAACTGGCAAACTTCGTCCATGTATCGCAGTCAGATTCTCCTTTAACCTAGTTTGTCCTTATCTTGCTGTGACGATGATCTAGTGACTTTGGAAGTGTCAGTTTTTCCATGCTGCGCTCCCAAAATCACCTCGATTCTGCAGGTGTCGAACCAGCCATAGCAGTCTGAGAAGAGATAAGCAATTAGTAAAGTTCAACTATGTGGAAATAGCCTCTAGGAGTACCACTGGCCAATTTCTATTTGGTCTGTCTACTTCACCCAAATGAAAGAATGAGGGAGAAATAGTTGAACTGTTGCATTTGAAGGCATTAGTTTTAGCTAAGGCATAGTGGCTTTATTAAATCATGGAGATGAGTAGATTAATTGTAGCACAGACAATTTTAACCCCCGGTAGCACAGGGTGATTCATTTCCTCATACAATTCATTATTAAACAAGCACGGATCAACAGGTAACCCAACAGGTGTCTCTAGGAATTAAACAATAACCAAATGGGCTTCAAAACAAATGGTGTTACTGGTGACTAGGCTGCAGCGGGGGACAGGGCCCTCACCGGCTTTGAAGCCACACACACACACCATTCACCATTACTGAAAAAAAAAATTACCAAAAGTACTCAGAATATGGAGAGCAGGTGAGAGGCCCAGTCACCAAACTCACCACCATCTGGGCAGCCACGCGGTTGAGCCTCAACACCTAAAAAGAACCAAATTTAACAAAAAGTAATCTTCCGGATTCTAAGGTAACCAAACAAATACTACTAAAATAAAGAAAGACAAAACAGTATAAAGCAAAACTGCAGTGGCTTCCCATAACAGCCTGGACTGGAGGGAGAATAGAAACACTTACCCACTTACTGGATTCTCAAGCCAAACTCCAACAAAGAAAGGGACGATCACACTGATGCAGCTTCATCATGTGCAGCTTTTATACCCTGTCTAATGGGTAAACCAGGAAGTAGGCGGTACCAAGGCCTTCCTGAACCTACAGTAGCTTAGGAGGGACATTTCCTCACTGGCTACACATTTCCAAAAAGATTATTCATTACTTAAATCATTCATCTATAATCTTACAGGTTGAGCTTCTTGACAACAAAGATGAACTTGTCTTGCAGTATTACCATTTTGATCATTTCGGCAAACTCTCGCAGTGCACCCAATAAGCCATGGATCAAAATCATCCCACACTTGTAGTTTACTCCATTATATACCCCACCAAGCTGGCCAAGCTCGCAGTGGCCATAGTTGAAGACTTTTGTTTTACAGTATTTGAGATTTCTTTGTTAAGAACATACATTTAAACAGTGGAAACATTTGTCACTTCCAATGGAGGTCGGGTAAAGCTACATGGGTGTAAATGATGTGCAATCTGAAACTGATGTCTCTCAGAAAGGGAAAGGTGCACATTTGCAGAATGCAGAATTTGCAGCAACGACTTGCTGCAAAGTCTTTGCTGCAAATTTGCAGCAAATAATTGAAATATATTGACATTAATTACTATTCTTTTGGTGGAGTATATATTACACTGGTTTCGCTACATTTAAGTGGGTCCCATAGTAAACCTCTTTCCTTCAGGCAGAAGAATGTGGCTCTATCACCAATTGCTTTTCTAACACGGTTTGTCTCACAGATTGCGGCACAGACAGAACCAATCGAATAGTTAAAATCCTGCGAAATCTCATCTATAGCTGCATTAGACACAAGAACGATTTTTTGCAGATATAACCTCAGCAATTTTAACCTCAATATCCTTCTCCAAGTTTTGAGTACTCGCATTGTCAAAAAATAACTAAAATAGCATTGGTTTCTATACTTTATGTATAAATAATATAAGTAATACTTGCAGTATTTTCTATATTTATATCTTTTGAAGTTCCCATAGATGTTGGTTTTATATTCACAGTTTTAGATCACGCATGTTACAGTCTTCTTTTTTTAAATACTGAAAGATGGGTTGAAAACATTACATGCAGGTAGGTGCACGTAGGGACACCACGCAGAAGTCGGTGCGACCTCCGGAGGCCTCACACATCATTGGTGATGAAATTATTCATTCAAATGTATTTTTATTTCACATTTGACACATAAGGCCTAGATATATCATATGATGATGATAACAACAATGATAAGAATAACAATGATTTTTCTTCAATAATAAAAATAATTAAATATTCAATGAAGCTCTCTAGAAGCCTTAAATTCTGCAAGGAAACTGAAATAAAACCCTTAATATCTACAGACACACAATAAATGACAGCAGAAGATATTAATTTCTTGACACCAAGTCCCATCCCAGATCTGTCTTCTTCACCTGTCTGCTGATGAGGAAGCTTGTTGATGATTGAGATAACATATTATGATAATAGTAATAATGATAGGTGTTTATGATACTGAAATTCAAAAAGTGTCAAAAGACTACCTGTTAGTAAAATAATCCGCATTAGAGACATTTCTACTTGATCTTTTTATTAGAACTGGTTTCAATTCAGTTTCTTTCTCACACATTTGGTCATAACTGCACCGTTCTTCCTGAGCTAGTTTTAAAAGGGTTAGGGTTGGGTCAGGATTTCATTGCAGGACTGCTTTATTAGACTGGTTTATTTGTTGTTGTTGTTGTAAACTGACTAAACGTGTATTTAATATATTGAATAATTGATTAATAAAAAAACCATTACGTTTCATTCAGCTAATGCCTTTGTCCAAAGTGCATTCAACCAAGAGGGAACCGACCCCAAACAACAATAATTAAGAAGGTATGATTTTTGAATGGATGCTAATGTTAAATTATCATTCTATGATGAAATTGCACTTTCTTGTTTCTTGCTCTTCTGAGTTTGTATCCCTATGGTTGAATGCACAATAAGTGCATAAGTCGCTTTGGATAAAATCCATCCATCCATCCATCCATCCATCTTCAACCGCTTATCCGGGGTCGGGTCGCGGGGCTTTGGATAAAAGCATCAGCTAAATGACATGTAATGGAATGGAATATTTAATATCATGTACCCCCAATTTGACAACCACTCTGATAATGGACACCCACCCTTTCCCCCCCACACGTTTAGCATTAAAACTGTATTGAATATATATATATATATATATATATATATATATATATATATATATATATATATATATATTCTATGCATTTCAGGTTCCAAATCTTTTCATTAAATAAATATATAGTATTTTACTACCATAGAAGAGCAGTGTTGGAAAGACAAGCATAGGAGTTATGTCATATTTATGTGTTTGTGGCCCTTCTTGTTAGCAAAATAAATATCAAACAAAAGAAAAGCGTGCTTGGACAACTTGCTCTCTTTCTGCATAAAAGGAACGAACCAGTGGTGCATTAGTGGCCAATTGACACAAAATGTTTATTGATCCCAAGGACAAACGGCCACCACACTATGAATGTACGTTGAGACCACAGGTTAACTGGAATAAAATTTAAATGAATGTGTATACATTAATTAATCTGATTCTCATCTCCCCATTATAAAATTAATTACATTTGATTTATCCTTCAGTTTATCGATTCCAGTCTTTTAAACTGATCTGTTTTTATAATAACGTCCACCCAAATGGTAACTACAGAGACCTAACCCTCCACCCAAAGGGGTTAACTAACCCCCTAACATACCTAAAATTACATAAGGCCACGCCCCCTACCCAACCCTTCATAACAAGGCCATGCCCACTATACCAATGTAAGCTTAATTCTACAGTGCAGTACTATGATGTCAACTTCGTACTGTTGCCTCACAGCAAGAAGTTAATTAAACTCGTTAATGAAAATAAAAGTATTTAATACTAACTAGAATATAGAAAAATCAACACGTTATCAACACCAGTTGTAAGTACAGACAGAAGTCCTATGACTCAATTCAGCTGAAAAGGGACAGATTGTTTTCATAATGATACTGGTCAATGCCACCTTACATAAATAGAACCTTTCTGAGTGGATAAACATATGTTTGCTCTACTTCAATGTCCAAAGTCCAAGAATATTCAGTCATGACTCATCAGAAACACTGGCTGGTTACAAGCATAAATTCACGCTGTTCTTTACCTTTTTTTTAAACCACGAACTCAACAACTTTTGAACAAACAGATGTCAGTTGACTTAGTCCATCAGTTCACCTTTGGTGTGGGTGTGTGTCAGTAGAGGATAAAAGTCCAACTTCATTCTTAATGTTATTCACTTTTTGCCACTTGTTGAGTTGCATTGACAGAAGACCAGAACCATGAAGGTGTACTTGCTGCTACTGCTTCTGCTGCCACTTTGCACAGGTACGACAACACACCCACATTTATTAATTTAAACTAATGGTACGATCGCACATTTTAACAAATGTCCAGCAAACTGTATTATTACAAAAAATGTTTTTATAAGGTAAACATTGCGTCTTTTTTAACATGATATGTATCAACAAAAAAGCTCTTCATGTTCTTACGGAGGTTAGTACTGGTCCAACGCAGGACCAGTACTCACCTCACATACATTACCAGACATAGCAGTATGGTAAGGCATTTGAATTTAGGGTTAGGTTGGGATGGGAGCACACAGAGAATAATTTAAAAAAAAAAAAAAAAAAAAACCTTTTCGGAGTTTATATAAAAAAACCTTTTTTAAATTTAAAATTCCAACACACGAGTTCAGTAAAACAAGACAGAGCACACAGCCATCTGCACGGTTCTCTGCGGGTTTAGAGACTATTTAAATGTTACAGTATGCTACCAGTCAGCCTGGATATTTAGCTAAAATATTTAAATTGTGTAAAATTAACATAAACTTGTGTTTTTTTTATCAATAAGTGTGAACTTACACAGGTGACAGCAATGGAAAGTGTTATCGTTAAAGCTAATGGGGGTTTACCTGATAGCTGATTTATGGTTAAAGTATTAATGCGTTTTAAACTGTGTCAATCAATTGTAACATTAAGATCATTAACACATTTTTCCCCGCTAGGAGTCCTGAGATATTTACTTAGACAAATAGGTCAGGTCTCGGAAGAAATCTGGTTCTGATTTTGTGTTGCAGCTCAGAAATTTACCATTCAGTGTTATGGTGAAGATTTCCTGATGGTCAACAACATGCTGCTAGATTGCAGCGGCCCAGTTCAACAAGCATGCTACACCAGAGGTGAGTGTCAGTCTGGATTTTAAAGTTCGTCTTTGTGTAGCTGCATCTAAACTAAAAAAAGAAAATATTTTTATTAATATTCTTTTGCATGAGTCGATGCTCTGTCAATGACTTTGCTGTTTACTATTGCAGATAACGGAGAAAAGGGTTGCACTAGTAAGGTCAACTGCTCTAAACCTGGATGGACCTGTTGCCACACCGACCGCTGCAACGCTTGAGCCAATCACAATGCAGGGATTACTGCCATCATTGAAAAACATGTTGTGAAATAGAGCGAGGGAAATATCCTCTTAGTGCTGTTTCTGTGACCTTAATAAAGCAGTAACCTCATTAGTTGTCAAATGTTCAGATTCTTTTTTTTTATTATTATTGGATTCAAGTCAAAGTACACAGGTATTTTTAGCTTCATGTAGTTAAAGCAGACGTGTTAAACTCAACGACGGCAGGCCACTTCCGGCCCTCGGTATAATTATATCCGACCCAGGAGAAAATATTTATTAATGTCTATTTTACCTGGCCCCCCCAGTGAACAAGGACCTATAATTATTCACTTTGTATCACTGCATCACCAGAAACACTGGGTGGCAAAGCCCTCCAAACAGAACATGTAATAAGCACAATAACTAGGTAGGGAAACTTCATCAGAGCTAAACGCTCACCAACTATTTGTCTTTTCTGAGGATATGTTTTGAACGCGGCGACGTGCATGATTACCTACAGGGGCAACAGCAGAGTCGAGGGAAAGTGCTGAATAGATTTTATGAGTCACATAAGGAAATCTGCTAGTTTCTGGAAAGCAAAGGGAAAGCCACCACTAGCCATCCTTTATGGGCGACTTTATAACAATGCCTCAGTACGTGAACCTTCAGTTTCATGGACGTGTGACCACACACATGTATGAGCTTTCACAGCCAAGCTGCCTCTGAGAGACTGCGGTGCAGCAAGCTTTGGTCACTGTTGCCACACAATGACAAACCACGTTTCCAGGACTCCATCTTGATAGCGTGATCAAAGTTGAAAACCCGGTTGGGGTCATCTGTAAGAATTCTGCCGAACAAATTCTGTTGTTCTGGTAGATACATTCGGCAGATCACAGGTAAAATACCAGCGCTGCGTTTGCAAATACAGTGAGCAGTTCTGTCAGCACCCAGGCCGGAAGAACAACGAACTTAAAATCAGGAAAAACATCACGTTTGGCACTCGTTCTTACGATGTGGAAGTAAAGATTCTTATTTGTCCCTATACTAACGTCGAGAAGTAGCTCCTCCCAGCGCAAAACTGCATCCAATCACATACTGTTAGAGCCATATTTTCTGTTTTTGTTACAAACCACATTATGTATTTTGTCGGTAGGAATTATGTGTATTCCCTTAATGTATGTTAAGTTCATTTTTAAAACAACTTTCTTTATGATTCATCAGATGGACCTGACGAGGATCAGCGGTTGAGAGAGAGGACGGGGTGGGACCGAGTCACGGGACTTCTTTTTGTATTGGACGGGATCGTGGCACAGTCTTTTGACCTCATGTTGTTCACTCTGTTAATCGTATAAAGACAAATTGTATTTGGGGTTGAAAGAAACGAATCATTTTTAATCAACGACGTAAATGAGATTACAAGTCTGGAGGGTTTTGTATGGAAACGAATTTGAGAGTCAGGAAGCGGAGTCCCGGGCACCGAAACCAGGAAATTCAAAAGCAAGCCCCCACACATACAATGTGGGGGTCTGCTGACATTGATGAAAAAATAACAAAGTGTATATGTATAGTGCAGTGTGTCTCGATCTCTCTGTTGCTGCCTGGTTGGCACTTTCTGCTTTGTTTTAGATCGTGCATTCCTCAAGCAGGATAAAACATGGAACAGTAACTCCCTAAATGATCAGTAAGAAAAACGTTTTTGAATATCAATCCCTCTTAACATTGTTGATCTAGTGGTTCACATAATAAATTATGACTAATCTCAATGTTAATAGATAATAGAAAATTATTCTGGGATTTCCATGATCAATTAATGGGTGAGTACAAAATGCAAGAAAAAGCTAAGCTAAACCATTTGTTCCGGGAGTACATTCATCTCAGTAATAGGAAACCGTTGTCCCCAGGTATTTCAAACCCTAACTTCACACACAGATTTTTACTGAGCATAATAAAACCAATACATCCTAGCACAAATGTCTCACACCCGCAACAGTTAGCACATTATGTAAACAGCAATTGGGAACATATAATTTCTACTTCAGGTCTATCAAAGTCGGTTCTTAACGACTAGATCTCTTCTTGTAACAAAGCCATCAGGTACGGCAGGGGCATTGTAGCATCTACCGCAGTGGAGGTGCTTTAGAGACAATCGTTTGATACAGGGGATGCAGCAGCATTCACAGGGACAACGCTACCATTGCAATTGCAACTCTACATCACGGACACAGGCACAGTAGGGGATCTTGAGGTGAGTAGTCAGTTTTGAAAACATTTATTAGCATTTTTTTTTAAAGAAATCTTTAGTACTTTAGTCTGTCGTCTGAGAGGAATGCATCAGAGAAGACTAATTTGGCTCAAAACAGTCACACAAACATTATCATCATCTTGTGTAATCTGTAAAATAAACAAACATTTGAATCCAGAAATCCCCATATGGCACTGCCTCAAAACATAACCCCCCATAACCCCCACCCCATACCCCTCTGGCACAGTCCCTCCATGGACATCCAGTGAGTCCCGAAACTCGACGCCATCCCTTCACAGAGACGGGCATTTAAAAGATGAAAAGTATCAACGAGGCAAAAACATCAACGACTCACATCCCCCTTCTTCCACTGTAAGGCCCCAACCCCATCCGGAGTGACATCATCATGACATTCAGATTACATTTTCGACATAAATCGTCCATAAGACACAAAAACTAAAAGCCGTCATTCAGTGAGTCACTGAATCCAGCCAATCAGAGGAGGGGTTCTCATGTGCTATGTGATGTAATGGGAGCATAAAATGGGATTTTTACAGTGTAACCGAGGAGCTGCTGTCCTTGGTGAACAGAAATATAGATATCTGCAGTACATACATACAGATCTGATCCACTTCTGACTAGTCAAAAACATTTGAGTCACAGTTTTTACTCTGGAGGTCAATGTCATGTGTATACTAACCGCTCCACTGTCTACGGTCAGACATTCTCAATACAGATACGAGGATGTATGACTGCGTGGTTGATGTTCCTTAGTGAAGGAGTGGAAGTTGACTTCTCTCCTTTGGTCGGGTAATTTAACATTACTCTCTTTTTAGGTTTGTACTGGGTAGTTCATACATCTTTCATGATTTACATGAAATGTCTTGTGTCATTGTAAAACAGTCATGTATTTTTAGTTTTTAAATGCAATACTTTACATACGTGTGTGGAGTTTGGCAATTAAACTAAATAATAGTGCAACAAAGTCGAATGAATGAATGCGTGAATGAAACTTGACTTTTCTGTTAAAAACAGAATTTATGGTGTGCAGATCATAGTACATGATAAAAACTAGAACCCGGATCAATAATAGTTAAGGCATTTCTCATAAGACACTGATAAAACATCATTAATTTCTTCATATCTAAAGAACTACAATTGTTAAACCAATTTTAAAAAACAACCAGTTTCTAAAAGACATTTAAGACTTGCAGGTTCATCTCCTGTCTTAACTGCTCTACTGTTACTGGAGGAGAAAAAGTTACCTGATAGCCACCTGTCACACCTGTGTTCCAGGCCTGTCCTCTGCTCTCTGTAAAAAGTACATCTTGACCAGGGTGCGATTTCAAACTGTCTAAAGGAAGAGAGTAAATGTCCAGGTGTGACAGGTAACTGCTCCTCTTCCAGTATTTCCTCAGGTAAATCAAGACTCTCCAGGTGTATCAAATTGTGACACCACATTTGATTAATCTGAAGAAATGTGACTTTTAACAGTTGACTGTTGAGAAGAAACATGGGACACCGGAGCCACAGGTTTGAATCCCAACACATACCCTTTTATACATTTATATTTCTGGGGACACCCATTGAAAATGCATGCCCGAGCCCCTTAAACTAACCATTATTTAAAGTAAGTGTTTCATCTGTATCCTATTCTTGATCTTACGGAGTTATGTATCATATTGTGTTAACCCCTGCTTACTTCCGAGTTACTAAACCATAACTAAAGCCTAACCCACATAAACTGAATGTAAACCTGATTCCAATCTTAACACTAAGTCCCCTTCCTGACATGTGAAACTCATCCTGTTCCTCACAAAGACAGCTGTAGCGACACTCATGCACGCATCTATGAGGGAGGCGTCAGAGGGGGAAGCCCTTCATCACTGGGCGTGGCTGTGTCATCACTCGGCTCCAGACTGTCCTTCAGACTCACGGTGCTGTCTGAGGGGGGGGGGGTTGAAATGGAATGGGGAGGGGTTAACTCAGACGTAAGCGGATCCACTGTTGTAGGGGGCGGGGTGTCTCGGAAGGGTTCCTGGGTTCCATTGGCTGTTGGAACTGGGTTGTGTGTTGTCACTTCAACACACGACCCAGTGGGAGGAAGCAGGGTGAAGAGGGGGTCCACTCCGGCGGGGGCAGGGTTAGACAAGAGGCTGTCAGGGACGGAGAGCAAAGACTTCTCCACCAAACGCCACTGCATGATGCTGGTGTCCTTACCCCCGGTTGAGATCAGGTGACTGTCGTTATACAGGAAGCTGACATTCGTCACATGACTGCTGTGAGCGTTGTACTTATGGCTGGGAGCCTGAGGACAAACAAATTGATTATTGATCGATCCAGTGTTCGGATGTTACATTTTCTCTGGAATGCTTAGGGTTATGGTCCAGTAGAGCTAGGGCCCTAGTTACATCGGAGCCTAGTAGAACTAAAGCCCTAGTTACACTGTCTCTGTGTGTCTCACCTTGGGGGTGGAGCATGGGTAGGCGAACAGATGAACTTTACAGAAGTCATCTGCCAGAGCGATCACCTTTCTGTTGTGAGATCTGATTAGAGCATTGATGTCAGTCCCATCTGAGCCCTCCGGCCACACACCTGTCAGACAGACAGACACACACACACAATACTGAAATAGGGACAAACTAACGCTTCACAGTATTTTGGATAAAAACAGTAAGTCACGTGTTTGTATACATTTAGTTTAAGTTTAAATACAGCAGGTTTAGTATTACTGCGTGTGGTAAGTGTACCTTACGTGTGCATAGGTGTAATCTATGTAGTGGGTGTACAGGTGTTTTCAGTTTACTAGCTTTACCAGCTGTACAGGTATTGCAGGTGAACTAACCGAACACATGGTATCCCAGTACGCAGGTATAGGTTGCCCAGTCGATGTCTTTACACTCTGATCGATTTCTGATCAGTTTGCAACCGTTTGGAACGTCCCCTGAAAACAAAGAAGAGTGACCAGACAACATTAGAACATGTTCACAGAACCACAGTAACACGGCATCACAGTACTCACAGTAGAGGATCTCATAGTCTCCAGAGTTGGACATGATGAAGTTGTTGTCAGGCGACCAGTCCAGGTGCGTGATGTAGCTGGAATGTCCCTGTGGAAACGTTCAGCTAACTCATTAACTCATTAACACACCTGAACACACACAGGCTCGGTTTCAGCATCTGTGCCTTCTGGTATCTGTAGCTCTCTATTAGAGGAGATAATCTCACCTGATCTGAATCTTCAAATAGGTGAGCAAAGACAAAGTCACCTGTTTAAATGCTCGCAGCCACAGACCCAAACCCTTGTGGAGAACTTTAAATACTCAACGTAGAAGTATACATCCATCTTTATTTCAGCTAGCATATGTTGCTTCCACATAGCCAGGCTCTTTCTAGACTAGGGTCTGCAAACCTAACCACCCAATGAGCCATTTTGCCCTATTTGCAATAGAAATGGTCTGGAGCCGCAAAGGCTAGTTGATAGCTGAGCGTATAAAGTTTTATATAGTTATATGATACATACAAAAACTATAGCTTGTTGTATTTATTAAATTATAGAATAAAGACAATTCTTGACATTCTATTGCTACTTTACCCGCTTTTACAATAGAAAAAAATACATGTATGGGCCTTCAATGAGGTCAACTAATTAACTTTTTGTTCAATACAATTGTTGATTACACATTGTGCAAGAGCTGCTAGCATTAGCTACCGTGCTTTAGCTTAGCAGCAAACGTTAACCTAATGTTGTTTGTTTGGTGTGTAACATGTTTAGCTATTCCTCTGGCTCCTTTACGGATAATGGTACATGTAAGAAGTGTAGTATATTTGATGGTTTGGAGGGGAGGCTTAGTGAGCTAGAAGCACAGCTCCGCACCATGGACGCTCAGTCGTTAGCTACTGTAGTTAGCCAGTCGACAGGGCTAAAACAATGTTGGTCTCTGTAGTTTTCTCCGGCACCCTCCCAAACTTGAGTGTATAGTGCGTATAGCTGCATATCGTCATTCACGGGAAGTGGTTTGGATGGAGCGGAACTCATTTAAGAAAATCTGACCCAGTTTCTCAGTGGATCGTATCCATGACAAGCGAGAGTTCAGAACAGGAAGCAGAGTTGTAGTCTTCTAAATCAAAAGGTTAACAGCTGAGGAATTCAGCTGAATAAACAAAATAGTAGAAATAAAAGGTGGACTCTTAAATATTACATCTGTCATCTAAAGCTATTTTAGTAAATTAATTAATATAAGATTACCATGTTGATCTATTTGAGTTATTTTAATAATTTTAATAATTAGTGTGGGCAATTTTAACATTCACACGGATAACAGTAACGGCAGCCCTGGTACTGTATTTATCTCATTGTTAGATTAAATTGGGTTCCGTCAGAATCTACAGAAACCTACTCATTACTTTAATCACATGAATGACCTGGTTCTGGTGTATGGCATTGGGATAGATTATCTAACGGACCACTGTCTAATAATCTTTGAATTCCTACTACCAGAATGTTCTCCCCTTGGCAAGGGTTTCTACAGTAGATATCTATCTAATAGATATTTATCAGATTTTTACGTGCTGTAGCCACGTTTAAAGAGGTGATTACTCCTGCTTTAAGTTGAGTATAGTGTCCCAAGATATCAAAGGACTCCTGTAAAAACTTTAGTCCGTCATCTTGTCGATAAAGCAATGGGCTTTTTGAAAGTGGGGCTATTGCTCCTGTAGAAAGGAGTGTGTTAACTAAAACGAAGCTTGCCCCTTGTTATAACCGTCAAGACTCACAACTTACTCACAAACTTCTATTGTTTTAGTTGAGTTTATTTAATTTAATAATTTAATATTTTTTATCTTATTATATTGTATATAATGTGTATCTTTTAATTCTATTTTCTTCCCTGTACATGCTGCTGTGATACCAACATTTCCCTCTTGAGGGATCAATAAAGTATCAATCAATCAATCTATCTATCTAAAACCTTAAACTAGCCAAATTAGAGAGAAAATCGGTCGTCTCCTGTCTTCAACGGTGCCGACCCGTCCTTGTGTCGTGTAGGAACCTTGGATGCAGCTATGGGCCCTGACACATATTTGGAAACCCAACAATCAGACTCTTCTACACATCATTGGAGTCTAAATGTGTGATTATTTTAGGCCCAAACCGGCACAGCAGTAGTAGAAATAATAGAACAACAAACACAATAAAATACATTTTGAAGAAATAAAAACAAAGGAAACAAAATTGTCTTACCGTGCACTTCCCGTAGCGGCTGTACTTGCGTCCGTTCTCTGAGACAGTGTAGAGGTAAATGAAGTTATCGTGAGATCCCACAGCCAACAGGCCGCCATCTAAAGTCACACAGAGAGGGGCATTCTGGGTCACATAGTGCTCTCACATGGTTGTCATGGAAACCGTCCTGGTTGGTAAACAGGAGAATTTTGTATGACTTTACCCACCGACAGAGAACCGCAGCAATGACAGCTGTTCGTTTCCGTCAGTATGGATCGCCACCAGGTCAGTGGTCTCAGCATCCAGAACGTACCACCTGAGACAGAGAGATCAGTTAGACAACGGGGAGACAGGGGTACTGTTGGGGGAAAATTTATTGATTAGCGTACTGCGAGTCTCTCAGGAACTGGGTGGGTGACCTTTCTTGGCATCATGTTTTTACAGCTGAAACTCACAGGTTTTTTATAGATAGATTTGTCTTTCGGGTTGTTGTCTCAGCGCATTCAGGCTGGAATGGCAGTATTGTTTCGTGTCCCGGTGTTTGCTTCTTTGCTTCGATTGATAAGTGCACAGATGTACAGTGTGTGTTAAGTTTGGGACAAAATTTGCATACAATATTTTATAATTGTGTAATAATTCTTGAGTTGTGTTTGAACATGCTCCAAACGGATTTGTTTGGCTTTGTAGCCCAGACTTGTGACATTATTATATTGGTACAGCCAAGACTCAAAACTTTGATGACCTGCCTGATGCTAAACTCAAAAAACAGAACAACAAAAATCTTGATAGGCCCAGAGCGCCTTCAAAGTCAGCTGTCTGGTGAAACAGTTTCTCTGGATGGAATTGCTCTGGTACCCAGCAGCACCGGCAAGAGTCTTCAGAGTTCTTTGACCAGGATATGTCCTTTAACTCTCATATAAAGAAGACTTCAGGGACTGCCTTTTTCCATCCATTTCATTTTCAACCGCGGGTCGGGTCGCGGGGGCAACAGCTCCAGCAGGGGACCCCAAACTTCCCTTTGCCGGGCCACATCTACCAGCTGTGACTGGGGGATCCCAAGGCGTTCCCAGGCCAGAGCAGAGATATAATCTCTCCACCTAGTCCTGGGTCTTCCCCGGGGCCTCTTCCCAGCTGGCCGTGCCTGGGACAACTCCCTAGGGAGGCGCCCAGGGGGTATCCTCACCAGATGCTCAAACCACCTCAACTGGCTCCTTTCGACGCAAAGGATCACCCGATCACAGCTCTCGCTTTGGGCGTACAAGGATTGGATGGCCCCAAGCAAGGACCCCCTCACCCCGTACTCCCGCTGCACCTCCCACAGTTTCTCTCAGGGGACCCGGTCATACGTCTTCTCCAAGTCCACAAAACACATGTAGACTGGATAAGCATACTCCCAAGCCCCCTCCATGATCCTGGAAAGAGTAAAGAGCTGGTCCGTTGTTCCACGAACCAGGACGAAAAGCGCATTCTTCCTCTTCAATCCTTGGTTCGACTATCGGCCAAACCCTCCTTTCCAGCACCTTGGAGTAGACTTTACCCGGGAGGCGGAGTAGTGTGATACCCCTGTAATTGGCACTCACTCTCTGGTCCCCCTTTTTGAAGAGGGGTACCACCACCCCGGTCTGCCACTCTTTTGGCACTGTCCCAGACTTCCACGCATTGTTGAAGAGGCGTGTCATCCAAGACAACCCCCCAACACCCATTGCTTTTAGCATCTCTGGACGGATCTCATCAATCCCTGGGGCTTTGCCACTGCGGAGTTGTTTGACTACCTCAGTGACCTCCACCAGGCCAATTGACGATGATCCCTCCTCCGCCTCCAGCTCCGGCTCTACCAAAGAGGGCGTAGTAGTTGGATTCCGGAGTTCCTCAAAGTGTTCCTTTCACCGCCCGATAACCTCCTCAGTCGCGGTCAACAGGTTCCCATCCTTACTGTACACAGCTTGGATGGTTCCCCGTTTCCCCCTCCTGGGGTGCCGGATGGTCTTCCAGAAGCACTTTGGTGCCGACCGAAAGTCCTTCTCCATAGTTACCCCGAACTCCTCCCATACTCGCTGCTTTGCCTCCATCACGGCAGAGGCTGCATGATGGATTGCCTTTTTCATCTACGTAATATAGCGAAAATCTGGAACTTCCTGTCTCAAAGTGATGGACAGAAATTAGTTTGTGTTTGTTACTTCTAGACTGGATTACTGTAACTCTTTGTCATGAGGCTGCTCTAATGAGTCTCTTAAGCCTGTCCAGTGGATTCAGCATGTGTATTAACAAGAACTAAGAAAAGGGATCATATTACTCCTGTATTAACTTCATTGCACTGGCTCCCAGGTTAAATCAAGTACAGGTAAAATTTAAGGTACTTCTCACCACCTACAAGGCATTTTATGTTGAGGCACCGCATTATCTTAAAGAGCTTGTAACACCATATTGCCCTACAAGGCAGCTGCGCTCCATAGGTGCTGGTTACTTGTTGTTCCTAGTCTCCTAGTTCCGAGTCTTAAAAAGTAGGATGGAAGCCAGAGCCGCCTTCAGTTACCTTGCACCTTTTTTGTGGAGCAGCTTCCACTTTCAGTCCGGGGGACAGACACAGTCACCTCATTTAAGATAGAGCTTAAAACCTTCCTCTTTGATTTTGCCTATAGTTAGGGCTGGCTGAGGTTAGCCTGGACCAGCCCTTAGTTAAGCTGCTATAGGCTTAGAATGCCGGGGGACTTCTTAGAACACACCGAGCTCCTCTCTCACTCGGACTCTCTTCTTCTACAATTCACGTTTTATTAAAGCACATCACTAATTCAGCTTCTTCCCCAGAGTTTTTTGTGCTTCCTCACCTCGCAGGTCTCCGTAGATCATGGTTCCGTCTGGACCCTGGTCCTGACTAGTGACTTGCCCCCTGACACTTACCGCTACTAACACCATTAATATTCCCATTTCTATTACTGTAAACATTAATCCGCATCACTAACTTTGTTTCTTCCATTGAGAATTTGTGCTTTCTCGCCGCACAGGTTTCCATGGATGATGGTTTTATCTGGGCCCTGTCATGGCCCTGCTGACACCTGCTGCTGCTCTCATCATATTTTAAATATTAATCACATTACTATCACTGTCATCATAAACCAACATTACCCTCTCCTAAAGTCTTTGTACTTTCCCTCCCCATAGGCTTCTGTGGATGGTGGTTCTATGTGATGGTGTTTCTATGTGATGGTGGTTCTCCCTGCAGTGTTCCTGCCGTACACCTGCTTACTACTTGCAATTATTTGACTCATTTCTACTATAGGAATTTAATGTATTATACATATTTTACATTGTTCATTCTGTAAACATGACATCCATTGTAGTCTGTCCATCAGGAGACGGATCCTCCTCTGACGTCCTCACTAAGGTTTCTTCCCTTTTTTCCCAATGGAAGGATTTTCGTTTTTTGGAGCTTTTCCTATGCCGATGTTAGGGTCTCGGGACAGAGGCAAATTTGTAATTTGCGATTTTGGGCTATACAAAATAAAACTGAATTGATTCATGATGAGTGCCCGTTACTGATGTTACGTGGTAGACATAAACAAACTGCAAAATGGCAATGATTGCTGTTGGCGGCGACTGGGTTTGTAATGAGGATTAAATGATTAGTACTGACTTTCCAGAATGTGTTCCTATGGCAACCACGGCTCCACTGGGATGGAAGTCTGCACAGTGTCCGTGTTCCTGAGGTATAAAAAAAAGCAGTCAATCCTCCAAAGAAGCAGTCATCCATCCATCGTCCAACATTCAGCTGTGAATGATTCGTTCATCATCCAAGATTCTGCTGTCAATTATACTTCCAAAATTCAGCTTAGTCAACCACCCATTATCCAACATTCATCTGTCACACGTCCACTTACCTCCAGTGTGCGGCTCCATTGGAGACTGTGATCCTCCGAACTCCAGGCCAAGACCAGCCGGTCTTGAGCACAGGTCAGGAACATACCTCTGGACGGGTGAGAGGCCAAACCCCACAGCTCATCCGTGTGACCCTAAACACATCGAAGGGAACAGAAAGACCCTGAACACATTACAAGACACAACAAAGACCTTGACCACATCAGATGACAAACAGAAGATCCAGCAAAACATAATGCGATCTCACCTGGACCTCCACCTGGAAGCCGTCATTGAAGGTTCCTCTTAGGATGAAGTTACGAGATGTTCCGACTAAAAACTCATCCCCCTTCCCTTCAGACACTGCTCTGATGGTTCCGTACTGATCCGGCACCTAGATACAAACAGTCAAGTGACCTCAGTCAGGTTCTGGAGCCGTGATTTTAACTACTATTATTAATCTTAGTCTTCTAATCCTAAAGTTTCTACTTGGAACTTGACTTGTTACCAAAATTGCTGAAAATAAAGATCTGAAAGTGTATGCGTTACTTGTTTAACAAGTAGAGCTTGTGAGCACCAATTTGAGTTTTAGACTAGTGAGGACATTTTGGAAAGTGGGGAAATTTTGATTGGTTCTCACTTTGGTTCAGACGTCTTCAGGCCTGTTTGAGGGTTCAACTGGGTTTTAAGAATTCCCTTACAGTCAGGCTCATGTTAGGTCATGTAGTTGTTAAGGTTATGGTAAGGGGACAGAAAATGCACAATGTCAATGACCGTCCCTACAAAGATACAAGTACATGTTGTGTCACCTCAATGTCTCGGTCAGCTCTCAGTTCATGGTCCCACAGGATGATTTTTCGATCTTTGCCTCCTCCGGTCAGCAGAGTGCCGCTCCTCATTTCACAAACACAAAACACACTGCCCTCATGACCTTTGACCTGCCGACTGATCTGAAACGCTGCAAACACACACACACACACACACACACACACACACACAGGTTTAATCCACCCTTTTAATCCACGTGTATAATTCTGAATAAGTTTCTCTTTCTGGATATTCCCTGTTCTGCAGTTCCAGCAGGATGCAACACAAAGCCCACAAAACATATTTGAACTAATCTGCTGGATGAGTTGGACTTTAAATCAATTTTTCTTTTTCTCTGCCACAGAGTCGGTTTATTACTTTAATAATTTGATGTCTCAATCGAAATCTCTTATGTTATGGAAGGTTCCAGCAGTCTGAATGTTTATTCTTTGCCATGGCTTCTCATTAAAAGCGGTTTGACAAATGTGAAAGCATTGCTGAAAATGGGCCAACACATACACACTGTGGGAAACTACTTATGTTATCATTGTTTATCTACTATATCCATTACATCTGTTTTTAGTAGCAATTTCTATTCAAATCATTATGTTGCTACTCAATCTTTGAATCATTTCTGCCATATGCATTAAATGCATAGCACAGATTTTTTGTTTATTGATGGATGGTTATTATATATCATATATTCAATCCCTCCTCGGCCATTATCCCTATGGTTTTCTGTGCCAACAAGGGGGTCAAACTACAGAGAATATCACGTCTACAGATTGTGAAGCACAATGAGATAAAGCACATTTTTAACTTGTGATATTGGGCTATACAAAAATTAAATTGGAAGTAAACTGAACTACTACTAAACTGATATTAGGTCACAATTAGTTTAAATCTGGGATATAGTTAAGAGCACACTCATATCTGCAGTGATTATTTCTACTCTCTTTTTGCTGGTTCCTATGAATTCCCAATTAAATAATGAAATACATTTTTTTTCACGCAGGCAGTTCCTCCCCGGCGCATCCAAGTGGCTCTTGCAGCAGACAGAGCACAAGCAGACAGACTACCACACCCCGAAATTTGTAAACCTTTCTCACAAGGAGAAATGAAATAAATAAAGTGTATCAGGATTGATCTTCCAGTAAAGTGTCTGAAATACTGATAGCAACACAGAGCACATAATAGTAGGGCTGTCAATACATTAAAATAATTAATCGCACATTTTTAAATTCCTAAATCTCATAAATGTTGTTGTTACAATATTTTAAGTTTTTTGTCATCTAAAGACTAAATCTTAACAGTAATGAGTAATCACTTTAGAAAGTGTGTATTTTAGACACTGTTGTTTAGTTGTTAACTACACACATTTGATCATCTTAGAGGCAGAATTCCACCGGGTGGAACATGTTGAACTACTGACTCTTCCTGCTGTCCTTGTGCACTTTGCCCTCAACTCTACATCATTTAACGGCTGTGTTTGAAGTGCCAACAATCTCCCCACATTTAGCAGGACGTTTTCAAACCACGATCTTTTAGGGACACAGTGGTGGTCCTCTGCAGACAGTGTGCCGCGCAGGCTAACATTAGATGTTGAGATGGAAGTAGCTTTACAGCTAGCTTAGCCGAGCTGCTAGCTTAGCATAGCAGTGCTTTAAGTGGTCCGTTATCCACTCACCCCCCTTCTGTTTCTAAGTAATTCCTGTGCAGTTATCTGCTGTATAGCGTGCCTCTGTTTGTTTTACTTGCTCTCTTCAGCTTGACGTAACTGACTGCAGCTAGCGGCCGTTTTGTTTCCGCGGCCGTTTATTTCCAGGACCAAAAGTAAACCAGGAGTAAACAAACGAACGTTAAAATATTTTGTTGCATTAATCTAGGCCACATTAATCACATAGATTAATGCGTTAATGTTGACAGCCCTAAATATAAACAACCTGATGACCTGCTTGCGTTTCAATCTCTTCTCTCCTCTTTTTCTGCTTCTATCTCCGCTGCCAAAAGCTCTTTCTACCAATCCAGAATTGAATCTTCATTTTCTAACCCCAAAAAACTGTTTTCTACCTTCTCCAACTTCCTCGAACCCCCTAGTCCTCCTCCCCCCTTCTTCCGGGAGACTTTGTCAACTACTTAAACTAGTATGAACTACAAAAGAAATAGCTGACATACGCTCCTCTTTCTCAAACCCACCTCCTACTACTTGTGTCCCACCGACTTCACCTCCTTCACCCCCCTGTCTCCTAACCAAATTCTTACCCTAGTAACCTCTGCCTGTCCGACCACCTGCCCTCTCAATCCCATTCCATTACACTGCTAGAGCTGCTTCTCTCTCCTCTGTCCTCATCCTTCTGGACCTCTCTGCTGCATTAAACCACCAGATCCTTATTTCCTCCCTTCAGGAACTTGGTGTCTCAGGCTCTGCTCTCTCCCTTCTCTCGTCCTACCTCGACAGCCGCACCTACTGGGTAACCTGGCGAGGATCTGTGTCGGAACCTTGTCCTCTTACTAGTGGAGTTCCTCAGGGTTCCGTCCTGGGCCCCCTTCTCTTCTCGCTCTACACCAACTCTCTCTGCGCTGTCATTCGCTCACATGGCTTCTCCTACCACAGCTATGCTGATGACACACAACTAATTCTCTCCTTCCCTCACTCGGATCTCTGCCTGTCTGACTGACATCTCTCAGTGGATCCGCTCACCATCTGAAAATCAACCCCGACAAGACGGAACTACTTCTCTTTCCGGGAAAAGATTCTCCTACACAGGACCTGACTGTTAACTTTGGCGACTCCGTGTTAACGCCCACTTTGACAGCAGGAACCTCGGCGTGACACTCGACAGCCGACTCTCCCTGACTCCCAACATCACTGACAACACGATCCTGTAGATACTCGCTCTACAACATCAGGAGAACACGTCCTCTTCTCACTCAGAAGGCAGTGCAGGTACTGATTCAGGCTCTTGTCATCTCCCTCCTGGACTACTGTAACTCTCTCCTGCAGGTCTCCTGCTACCACCATTCCACCTCTGCAGCTCATCCAGAATGCTGCAGCTCCAGTGGTCTTTAACCTTCCTAAGTTCTCCCACACTACTTCACTCCTCCGCTCTCTTCACTGGTACCGGTGGCTCATCCAGTTCTAAACATTGGTGCTCACTAGGGGTGTAACGATTCATCCACTGAATCGATTAACCGATTTATATTCCTGCGATCCAACTGAATCGATTTGTGCAAATCGGCATTCCGGACGACATATATCGATTACAAATCGATTGAAATGGTACATAAATCGATTTGTATCGATACTTGGAAACTGCGCATTGGATTTAAGCACAAAACTGTATACATGTGTGTTTGTTTGTTTTTTAGCACTTTAGACACGTTAAACGTTACTCGATTCAGTCTGCCTGTGTTACGTCATCAGTACGCAGCGGCAGTCGCGCGAAACTCTGAACAACAATAACACACAGCGTGGAGGAGGCGACTGCGAGCGAGACATTTACAAACCAACTTATCGATCCAGCGTGTGGAAACATTTTGGCTTTTGCAAACACGGAGGTGTTCTAAATAAGTAGTTCGCTGTTTGTAGAATATGTAGAAGCCAAATAAAAAAAACACGGAAACACGACGAATCTTTCTGGCCATCTACTAAGGCGCCGTGGGATTGAACAACGCCGACAGTCAGGACCTCTAGCAGCGTTACCGCTGCAGCAGCAGCAGGTAACTCCAGCTCTGCAGACACCTCAGGCCTCGCCAGCACCAAACTCAACATCACAGTAACAATTGCCAAGTTTAGCTGTAAAGACATGTGGTTGAAAATCCGGGGTTCTGTGAATTGATCCAAACATTGTGTAATTATTGTGTAATGTTTACATTGAAAATGGTTGCATTTGATTCAAATAAAAGGTTAATACATTTGCCATTAATTGTTGTTTGCTTGTTTTATACATTTCCCTACAAGAAACAACAGGGATCTCGGAAAATTTGCCTGCACTGTCCAGTAAAGTTACTGAATCGATTTCAAGTCACTGAATCGAATCGTTCTAAATTAACCCAGATCGTCCATGAACCGAATCGGCAACCATGAATCGCGATTCGAATCGTTGTTAAAATGAATCGTTACACCGCTAGTGCTCACGTACCATGCTGTACCATGGATGGGGTCCAGCTTACATCCAGGACATGGTCCGACCCGACATCCCGACCCGCACTCTCCACTCTGCATGTGATAAACTGCTTGTTCCTCCTCACTGACAGCAAAACATTCGACTAGATCTCCACTCTTTGCTGTCCTGCTCCTAAATGGTGGAAGGAGGTCTCTGAAGACATCAGGACCACAGAGAGCCTTCACATCTTCAGACTAAAGACACACCTCTTCAGACTCTACCTCCACTAACACACTAACTGTGGCTCTTAAATTGTACTTATAATGGCTCTTATCTATAGCAAATAGTAAATTTGCACTTTCTTGTTTGTTGCTCTTCTGAGTTTGTATCCCTATGGTTGAATGCACTTATTGTAAGTCGCTTTGGATAAAAGAGTCAGCTGAATGACATGTAATATAATGTTTCATGTTACTTTCCATTGATCAATAGAGTTTATATTGATTGATTCACTGAGGTATAGCTCCTTTTTCTATCTGTGGTTTCTCAAACCTATCACAGCTCTCGTTTTTGCTGTGTTCAACTTTCAGATAGATTGAGAAAGAGTTGCAAAGAGTCAAGCTAATGAAATCAATGAGGAAAAAACTAATCTGATAGGAAACAAACTTTGAGGGACTATAAATGTAATAACTCGTATGGATACGGGAGACAAATTTTAGCAAACCATACAACTTTGTTTGGTAGCGAGACTGGTTTTTAACTCTGTACTCCTAACAGGGATTCCAGTTAAATAAACACTCACCTCTGGGACCCTTCCCACTTGGGGTCTCAGCAGAGCTCCTGCTCCAGACCAGCAGGACCCCCCCAGAGTCTCCAGTCAGGATGTCTCCATTGGTAAGGAATGCCAGACACTGAATGAACTTTGGCTTCTCGTATTTCTTAAAACAAGAAAAGAAACAGGGTTAGTTTGACCTGGACAAAAGACTCGTGGGTTATACAAGCACAACAGAGTTAGACCAGGTCTAACAACTGGGACTTGAGATTTGGACCAAGACTACAGACTGGGACTAAAGAGTTAGCTCACCCCAAAGATTCCTTGTTTACGTGCCAGCAAGTTCCCGGACCAAGTCCAAAAGAAAATGTGTGACTTTCCACAGGTGACAATGGTGTTTGGGTCAGTATGGTGGAACTCCACGGCCAGCACCACCTCATTCGTGGTCTGAAACACGCCAGTTCGAACCAGGTCAGTATAAACCAGGTCAAGTATAAAGATTCAACATTACACACTCCAGCAGTAATAAGAAGAGGGACGTTTTACCTTGATCTCAGCGATCTTGGACTTCTTTTGCCAATCCCAAACTGTTAACATATGATCGTTGCTGTCGTCAATAACACTGAGGTGCTGACCAGAGTCCTGACAAAGGGAGACAATTAAGTCTACATGTAACTGTTTGTGATGTACAGAACAACAGAGATCAGAGCGCTACTCACAGCCTTGGAGAAAGCCAGAGAGCCGACACCTCGTTCGAACGTTCCCAAACCAACGACCTGCAGGGTGGAGAGACTGACACTATCCCAGACACGGACATGAGGCTGGACGGCCTGAGCACAAGGGTCAAGGTTAATTTAGTCAGCAATGTTTAAAATGAGATCTCAAATTGGTTTGGCCCTCACCCGTCCATCTTTGTCTACTCCTGCAATCTGTCCGGTAGCAATGCGGATCTTATCAGGATGGATGGCAAGACTGAGGGAGAGACACAATAAGATCCTGAAATCTGGTCACAGTATAACCAGATTCAATATATACATACATACAAAAATTATACACACACACACACACACACACACACACACACACACACACACACACACACACACACATAAATTACATACATTTACGCTAATACTAGGACTGTCAATAGATTAAAAAAAAAACATTTGGAAATTCCTTATATTGAAATAAGAAGTTTGTTTTTCTTATGTATTTTAGACACAGTTGTGTTTGAAGTGCTGACAACCTCCCGATTTAGCCAGGACGTTTTAGAAACCGCTGTCTTTTTGGGGACAGTGGTTTGGTTTTGCAAAGTGGTGGTCCTCTGCAGGGTAGATGTTGAGATGGAAGTAGCCTAGCAGCTAGCAACATGTTCCGGCATGTTCACTCCTAAAGTGGACTGACTGCAGCACGTGGTTGTTTTGTTCCTGGTTAAAGATTTAGTCTTTAGAAGAAAAACAAACTTTTAAATAAAAAGTTTCAAAATGTGAGATTTTTTTTTAATCTATTGACGGCTATATATATATACACACACATATATATATATATATATATATATACACACACACACACACACACACACACACACACACACACACACACACACACTTTTTCTCACCACTTGACACAGTCAGTGTGTCCGAGATAATGTCTCTGAGTTCGTTCTTCGTAGTTAAACAGGACGACGACGGACGCAACAAAATAAACGATTTCTCCGGTTGGAAGGAGGTAAATATTTGCTCTGCAGTCTCTACCGCGGTAGCCATACCTGCAAGAGGTCAAGGAAACACATGAATAACACCTGGAAATCTGCTGAAGGTTTTTTGAGGCTCTACCAAAGATCTACTAAAGCTTTACTAAAGATCTATTGAAGCTTTAATGAAGGTCTGCTGAAAACTTACTAAATATTTACAGAATCTTTACCATAGATCTACCGAAGCTTTACTGGAGGACTACTGAAGCTTTACTAAATATGTACTGAACCTTTAAAGATCTAACGAGCCTTTACAAAAGATCTACTGAAGCATTACTGAATACATAGTGAAGCTTTACTAAAGATCTACTGAAGCGTTACTGAATATATACTGAAGCTTTATTGAAGATCTACTAAAGCTTCACAGAAGATCGAAACTTTGGATGAAAACTCTTCTTGAAGCTTTCCCCTCTAATCTACTATTTTACTAGCAAGTTATTTTATAACTTTAGCTGACAATGATTAAGCACCACGTTGCTTACATTATATTCAGTTCTATTTGTGCTACTAATCAAAAGATACACCCATTCCAGCTTGAGTCTCTCTGATGGAAGTTCTGTCCTAACGTCTTCGTAGTTCTCCACATCTGAAGGGATGAACATGGTGATTGGTCGGCCACGCATGAACATCTTGATGTGATTCCCCTCTGAAAGGGCAGACAGAATCAGAACACATGTTGGAGAACAAAAGATTCAATGTGGACATAAATGTAGTATAAAAAAAAGAATTCTGAAATACAACCATTCATTGAGTGAATTTACAGGTCAATTTGTGTCTCTGTGGTTGTCTTTAAATGTTTATGGTTGTTTTTATCTCTTTGAGGACATGTGTCATAACTTCGTAGTTGTTTTTGTCTCTGTAAGGGGCTGAAGGGTAGAATAGTGGGGGGAGTGTACGTTCCTGCTCATAAGCCTTCCACTCCACTCCAACAGGGGAATGGAGATCAGGTGTGCTAGAGACACACCTGGATCTCATCTTATCTTCAAGGGGTGGGTGCAAAAGGAGAAGCACAGAAGAATTTGAGGAGGAGACATTTTGGGAGAGGAGCAGTTTGGGTGCTCCCTTAGATCTTCAGGGAAAATCCCAGTCGTATGGCGCCCGGTCTGATTCTGAAGTTTAAGGGTTAGTTTGATTGGCAAACACGCTCTGAAGACACACTTGGTCATCTGTTTTTGTTTCTTCACATTATTTTATTAAAAAATTTTACTAGATACCATCCGCCTCTGACTGCTGCGCGGCCATTTTTGTCTCTTTGTGGTCATCTTTTTATCTTTCAATTTTTGTTTCTCAATGGTTGCTATTTGGACTCGGTAAGCAGAAGATCAATACTAAACTGTATTTTAACCTTTCAAACAAGGGCTCAATGTCTACTGATCAGACCACGGTACACTGATAACGACTTATCTGTGAGCAGATTAAACAATGTTTAAAAGAAGTTGTGAGGGACAGGTGAAGACGACGTGAGGGACAGTGAAGCAGGGGAGAGACGGTTGGAAGATAGGTGAGGGCCATTGGCTTGTACGTCAAACGGTTTGTAAAGGAACGCATGCTATATGAACATACAAACACTAACCCTAGGAAACACCAGGGCCTCGTATGTGGCTAACGGAGTTAGTCCTGGTTTCTCTGATAAACTCTTCCGCCTTCTAACGTAGGACGCACACACACGATTATCCTGATGACGGACATCTGGTTCTAACTAACAAGACTGTTTGAGCAGATCAGCCTTTGAGGAACTGAGATAATCATTTTGTTAATTTGAGCTGGGTAATAGGACATTTGATCGACTTAGTTGAACCACGTACGAGCAATAGGGCCCTGGTGAACATCTATCAGGGGAACATCTTGAATTGGTTCACCCCGGTCACGCTCGAATATAACCACCAGGTTAGGATCAGTAGTTATACCGGTTCTTACCAGGTAACCCCCAGGTTATATACTATAATCCTAACCTGGTGGTTAATAACGAGTTTGGATACTCTAGGTAAAGCAAGGTTGGCCTGGACTAGCCTGACTAACGACTCATTCAATTTATTTTGTACACTTACCCACGCTCAAATGAGCTACGATCACATGCTCTACTTTTAATTTACTGGCCTCCACTTGTAGGACTTCCTCATTTCTCTCAATCTCTTAATAAAGTTCAGGTGGCACCCATTTGACCGTATATGTAGGTAAACGACAGTAGGGTCGGAGTCACAGACAGGTGTGAAATCACCTGATCGGGCCGGCGAATAAGAGCGAAAGAGATGAAGAGTAGAAAACAGGAAGCACTCATTCAGCTGCTGTTAGCATGTTAGCTCGCCCTGCTGACTCCTTAGGACTTACCAGCTTGGCTGTTTTTCTCTCGTGTCGACATTTTGGCTGGTTTGAGATAAAGACATTGTCACTCAACAAAAACACCACCAAAGACAACGCAAACAATACAAACAACAACAACACAAACTAAAAGAGAAACAAAGAGGCGCAACAGGGCCCGTTGGATCAATCTCTCTTTGATGATGATCAAGCCTAACCCCCTATCTCAAATGTTAAGGTTCAGGCGGACGGTGGGCCGCCGCCCAATATATAATGGTACGAGAAACACTGCATCTAGGTCACCTTCACATCTGGGCTCGTTTCTAATGACTTAACATTAGCATCTTCAGAAATAAATATGAAAGTTGGGCTGTAAATGAGTGACATTATTCAGGTAAGTTCATTGGTGACATTGGTAACAATGTAGGTGGAATTCATCATGAGACGAGCCAAAAGTTATGAAAAATTACCCAAAAAAGTATTGATACACAACCAAACAGTATCAATAAGAGCAGTGGTGTTACTCACAAGTCATCTTTATTGAATTCAAAGAGCTCATTTCTGTCACCAGGACGACGCAAACAAGAGTCACGAAGGGACAAACATGGTACAGCACAGATAATAACGATTGTGAATATTGTACTAATATATATGGTTTATGTAGTTACCTTGACTGATGACCGGCTCTTTGTGTCTGAAACATAATTAAACAAACGTTTTATTCAGCATTAAAGATTTAATTATAAACAGGAAACACACACAATATACATTTATACACACATGTATATACATGGTCGGCTCAGAATGTGGAGTAAACATGAAAGCATGGATCCACCCTGCCTCGTCTCAACAGTTCAGGCCGCTGGTGGTGTGATGGTGTGGGGGATATTTTCATGGCTCACTTTGGGCCCCTTAGTACCCATTGAGCATTCTTTAGATGACCATGTCCATCCCTTAATGACCACAGAGTATCGTCTTCTGATAGCTGCCTCCAGCAGGATGATGCACCATGTAACAAAGCTCAAATCATCTCAAACTGGTTTCTTGAACATGAGGATGAGTTCACTGTACTCCAAAGGCCTCCAAGTCACCACATCTCAATCCAATAGAGCACCTTTGGGATGTGGTGAAACGGAAGATTCACATCATAGACGTGCAGCAGACAAACCTACAGCAACTGCGTGAGGCTGTCATGTCAATATGGACCAAAATCTGTGGGAAATGTTTCCAACACCTTGTTGAAAGTATAACAGCAAGAATGAAGGCAGTTCTGAAGGCAAAAGGGGGTCAAACTGTTTACTAGCAAGATGTACCTAATAAAGTGAGTGTACACACACATTTGTACACAGTATTCAGAGGTACTTGTACCTGTCGGCGTTCTTCACCACCTTGGCCAACAGCTTGGAGGTGGAAGCAGCTTTCACAAGTCTGTTCCTGTTCTCCTCTGAACTGTCCCAGGTGCTGCTTTGAGAACGTTCCATACCTGAGGACCGCTTCACACTGGGGCCTCTGCTCACACAAACACACATAGAGAGCGACAAGGAGACACACACAGTTTCCATTAGGAGGACAGAAAATAACACTTGTTTTTCATATGGATTCTTAAGTATTGTTAAAATACGAGACAATAATGTGATACTTAATTAATAGCAATAGCATTGTGGTAACAATAATAATAATGTTCTAAGAAAAAAAAAAAGAAAATGTAATAATTATGTAACATGCTAGTAAAATGAATAATACAATTAGTAATAAGAATAATACTATTATAATAATGTAATAAAAATGATAATAACGTAATAATCAAACAGCTGTTTGATGCTGAAGGCCCCATTAGAGACAAGACATTGATGGTCGAAGTCGAACAAGTATAAGTTGTCCATGTGGCGCCCATCTTTCATGGGTCCAGTTCATCATCATATTCCAATAGAACTAATCAGGTAAGATGGTGGACATACCATCATAGACTACGTTATATATTTGCTTGTGTGTTGTTTTTTTAATTGCGGCGGTTAGTCAGCTGATCCTCTAGAAACTCAAGCCACCCGCTAGAGGAGCAAGAGGAGAAGAGAAGGAGGTCTTCAGGTGAAGCTGGGAGCAGAACAGGGTTAATGGTTTTGATAAAAGGCAGCCAGAGCCTTGAGTTATAAGCAGCAAGCCAAGAGTTATAAGCAGCAAGGGAGGACCAGGAGTTAGGAGGCTCCAGAAAAAGATTCAGAAGAAGCTAGAAGAAGGAAATGTTAGTGATTAAAAACACCAATCCCGCCTGGGGTTTCTACCAGCAAAGAGTATTGAGGTGGAGACCCCTGGATTCCAGAAGACACCCTGAAGATTCCAAGAGCATCAAGAGGCTCTCAGAAGACTCCAGAAGGCCTCAGAACACTTCAGGATCACAGACAGGTCCCTCTAGACTTCTCCTGAGGAACCACAGTCCTGCTTTATGTCACCGATTGGCTGCATTACGTGTGTTCAAACAATGGTACACCTGCACATGAGCTGGTCAGGTGGGCTGGGAGGACTGTGGGTCCTCAGGAACAAGATTCAATGATCTCAGAGCAGCGTCAGCGGGAAGTGATTTCAGATAACAAAGTGGAACCTTTTGGGAGGAACGTTGGCTTTACTGCTGTCAGCAGACTGAGGAGGTCTCTGCTGCTGGAGATTCTGGGGAAGGTGGGGGGAGGAGGGAGAAGGAGACAGATCTTTTGGGTGAGGAAGCTCCTCACGTTCCTGGATCTCCTCCATCTGAGATCGCTGGCTGCCGAACTCCTTCTTCCTCTCTGCTCCACTGTGGACAAAACCAGGGCATTGAGAGTCCACAATTACTGGTTCCACTGTTGTTTGACTGTGGTTCTGAGTTTCTATTGCATTCTTCTCTGGTTATACGATGTCTTACTGCGGTTGAGCTGTGATTCTATTGAGTTTCGACTGTGGCTCTGAGTTTCTACTAACTCTACTCCTACTGGGTTGTATTGGTTCTGCTGGCTCTACTGGTTTCACTTGTCTTGTACTGCGTGCCACTGGTTGTCGGTTCTGCTATGATTCAAAGCACTGATCTAAGAACACATATTCCTCTCATCAAAACCAGGACCATGAGAGTCCAAAACCACTGCGAACAGCTTCCTCTTAATCTACTTAATGATTCCAGTAAATGAGAGGGCTTAGTGCTGGGGGACATATACCGCCATACTGTGGAATTATGAGCCTCATTAGATGTGCAACCCTCCAACTCACGTGTAGAACTTAATACCTCAAGAATCCATTACTCAAACATTACTCAGTTTAGAAATAAACACATTACCTTGTTACACAAACAATTTGTCCAATTTGGTTCTTAAGCAGTTTTAGCTAACAAACTCCAGTGTACTCTGGTCTGGTTTTGACACATATATTGAAATACACACACATATCATTGATTGCATGGATCAATCAGATCCGGTCTGTAGACACCTGGGAGGAAAGAAAAATCTGTAACGGGTTAAAAAACAACATTAACCAGACAAGAACAGACTTTAGCTTGACACAAGTTGATGTGTGAATAAATACGGTTATAATCCATGGAACCAGTGAGCTGTTGATGTTTCCTGGTGTAAAACCAGAAGAATACAAACATCCCAGGGAGAAGAAGAGTGTTTTACACAAAGGCACCATCAGTAATATCTACCTGGAGACACAAGGAAGTTTGTTAGGAGAATGCTCATGCAGGCTTTACCTCCTCGCCACCAAACACAGCGTTTATCTCATGTTGTGTGCTACTGCTATGAAAGGGAAGCTTCCCACGTGGCTCCTAAGAGTAGGGATCAAACTACGACTTTGAGCTTTTTAACTTAGAACTATGAACAATATATAAACCGTTTACTTAGTGTTTCCTCTCTGTAAGAGCTTGAAGTGTATCTATTAGTTCATTGGAATTTGGGGAATATTAATAAATTTCATTTTAGATTTATTACACTGTAATTTTACCTCTTGGCAGCAGACGACATCGTCTCCTTCCTGGTGACCGAGGTGGACTCTCTCTTACGCCCAGGTGTTCCTCCATTGGCAATAGAGGACATTGAGTATGCTTCACGAAGAGCAGCACCACCTGATGGAGGAAGCAAGTTACTGTTAACACTGTTAGAGGCTTTCCAGTAGGTGTGTCTGTTCATATTTCCCAGTACTTATTACGGGTCATTTTAGCTGATGCTTTTTATCCAAAGCGACTTGCATTGCATTTTAACTCATGGCTCTTTAGATTTTTGCCAGGGGAGCAATTAGGCGTAAAGCCTAGTTTTTGCTTCTGCATTTTCAGAGAGACACAAGGACACGCAGACGCAAGAGACCCTTGCGTGTCTTTTCACACCTCCTTGCGTGCGTCGATCCATTTTTTTAGCGTCTAAAGCGACGCAGCCTCCTGCAGCACTAGGCTGTGATTGGTCTGCTGACTACATCCTTTACGGAGTCTCACGTCTCCGTTTTCACAGCACGATACGGCCGTTATTAAAAGGAAGAACGTTTACGAGAGAACGGATCAGATCGAAGAGCTTTTGTGGGAAGATATGCGTAAATATGAGCACTTGTACAAGCCGTCATTGGCGGACTATGAGGACGCCGGATGGCCTCTGATTCATGGAGGGAGATCTCCACAAACGAGGGGAACAAAGTCGTGGAGGAAAATACGGGACAAATGTGTCCTTGATGAAAAGCAGCAGTGTGGATGCACGGGGCAATAAAGTCTATGATCAATAAATAAAGCAACCAACGACTTCCACACACAAAGACGTGACTCTCTAGGTCGTCTTCTACAAAACACGTGACTCCACCTGTTGTTCTGGAGGTGAATCGCTCTGCAACACACGTAGGACTTTACAACCAGGAAGTGAAACCAGTGCGTCGTCACAACGGTAGGGACACTTCAACATCGGACATGGAGCAGCCAGGGCTCCCCCTCTCTAACTATGGGCCACTGTCGACCCCCCTCCCCGTACTTACTGGTTCATGATGTAGTAACATCTGAGAGGAGAACGTTACCTTTGGCTGCATGTTTTTTGGAAACAGAGACTGAGGCTTCAGAAGCGGCGAGGCGGCGAAGGACGTCAGCGAGAGCGGCTTTCATCACGGTGAGCTCGTCTTCCTGCTGCTGGACACGCAGCTCCAAAGCAGAGAGGCGGTCGTTGACATCCGAGACACTGGCTCCAGACATGCTGTCATCTACACAACAACCAGACAACTAGTTTAACAAGACAAGAACAGCAACAACAGTAGGATTCACATCTGAGATATGGGCTCCAGACATGTAGTCATCTACACAACAACAACTTGTTGAAAAAAAAGGTAAACCGGGTCCCGTTCCTCACACGTGGCTAACAGTTAGCCGGATAATTATCAGGATATTATTACACAGATCTGGCTTTTCGGTTCCACAAAGAAAGTTGGGCAACATCGCCATAGCAACAACTCAAAAACTTGAACCTGGTCCGCCCAGGCTTGACGTTTTATAGGGAGTAGTGTTGCACAGTGTACCGGTACTAGAGGTACCGCGGTACCCTTACGTTGAAAACAATACAGTTTTTAACATTTTTAGTAACGGTAACTAAAATTGTACCAAATAATACACACTTCATACAATAGGCGACATGCTGGTGGAGCCTGACGGTGCGTTCACCACAAAAGCAAAGCAAATTTTCGCCCCGCTTTAAAAAAATGGGACGCGAATAATTTGCTTCGTTTTTGGTGTGAACGCACCACGAGGGTGGATCTCCACCTAATTCTTTTTAGTTAAGGAAATATGAATTTGAGAATATCAAACAATGATAAACAATGCTTCATTTACTGCATATAGTAAATGAAGCATTGTTTATCCCACAGACAGTCAAACAGATGCCAGGTAAATAGGGAACCTTACAGATGTTTTATTTATTACTAACATTAGATAAATATTCCAGTACCCTATTTGTGGTATTGTAAGTATCGGGTACCGTATCATTTTGGCAGGTATAGTATGAAAGTCACAATTTTGGTTTCATGACAACCCTAATAGGGAGATAGTTCTTCCAGATCAATGACCTATGAGCACTATCGATGCTGCCGACAAGAAATCATTTGTTTACAGGAAGACCTTCTAGAGCCGTAATGTGGTGAACACCACACGCTGTCCCACAGGCTGTCTCTCATACTGTCCCACACGCTGTCTCTCATACTGTCCCACACGCTGTCCCTCATACTGTCCCACACGCTGTCCCACAGGCTGTCTCTCATACTGTCCCACACGCTGTCCCACAGGCTGTCTCTCATACTGTCCCACAGGCTGCCTCTCATACTGTCCCACAGGCTGCCTCTCATACCGTCCCACACGCTGTCCCACAGGCTGTCTCTCATACTGTCCCACAGGCTGCCTCTCATACTGTCCCACAGGCTGCCTCTCATACTGTCCCACGCACTGTTCCACAGGCTGTCTCTCATACTGTCCCACGCACCGTCCCACAGGCAGTCTCTCATACTGTCCCACGCGCTGTCCCACAGGCTGTCTCTCATACTGTCCCACACACTGTCCCACAGGCTGTCTCTCATACTGTCCCACACACTGTCCTACAGGTTGTCTCTCATACTGTCCCACGCACTGTCCTACAGGCGGTCTCTCATACTGTCCCACGCACTGTCCCACAGGCTGTCTCTCATACTGTCCCACGCACTGTGCCACAGACTGTACATTTTTGTACAGTGTTGAGATGTGGAGAATATTGGGAACGCTGCCGAGTGCTCTTGGTAAAGTTTATTTGGCGCTTAATAAACTTTTGGATGTTCCACGTTTTCACTGCTTCAATATATTGAATTTCTGATTTTATATATATGTGTGTGTATGTGCGGATCAGAATATATATCCGCACATACACATATTCACACACTCAAATTCAAACTCTTAGTTCTATATGATCATCTACACATACATATGATACATAAACGCATAAAGTACTTACATCCTCAAAACTATTCATTCATATAAATTAGCTACTCTTTGGGCTTGTTTTTATCTACTTACTTAAAATCGCATTCCATGAAGCTTACTGCCAGCAGGCACATTTAAAGAAATACTATCTGATTGTTTTCGAGTGATGAGGCACTTAAATGAGCTTATACATTTTCCCAACACTTATGCATTTAACACTTATAACATTTAAATATTTTGCCGTGCTTGCCGTCTAGCCCTCGCAGTGGGGATGGTGTTTGAGTTTGCCATGATTATTCAATTCAATTTATTTTATATAGACCAATATTGCAATTCGGCTTCAGAGGGCTTTACAATCTGCACACATGCAACATCCTCTGTCCCAAAACCCTCACATTGGCACAGGAAAAACTCCCGTTTGATGGAGAGCATAAAAGGGAAGAAACCTTTAATTAGATTGAAGGAGGATCCCTCTCCCGGGATGAAGAGACTGCGATGGATGTCATGAGTACAGAATGAAGAACGTAGAAGATGAACAGTACATTCAATTCATATGACAGAAATGATTAGAATATACATATTATAGTCTTGAACTCCTCATATGCGTTCATGACCATCTCTGAGAAAAAACGAGGCTCCTCTTTGAGTTTAATTGACGTTTTTCTGTTAGAAAATAAATTTTTCGGTGATCGTTTCTTCCCTCTTTTGCAGAAGGACGCAAGATTAGGCCTGTCGCAATATCCGATAAAATGACATATTACACACTCTGAAATCGCGTGCAATAATTGTTGGTGATTCCAATGAACTATGCTGACAAATAAAACGTTGTTTAACTTAATTTTATAAATGTAAATGTTTGAAAGAACGTACTTTTATTACTATGATATTATATTGTCATTATGTTATCAGATCAAATCAGGATTAGGAAACATTTATTGCCAAAATATGTCAAACAAACAAGGAATTTGTCTTGTTGGTTGGTGCGTGACAGTAGACAGTGTAACAAAAGACAACAAGACAGCAGTGCACAAGTAATAAAATAAAGTAAAATGAAATGCTAATGCTAAGGGTTAGTAGAATAAGGCTATGGGTCAGTATAAAATAAGAGAATAAAGTTAGTTACAAATTTTAAATATTAAAAAGTTAAAAAATATTAAGCATAAAGTGCACTAGCGAACAAGTAACAAAGTGACGACAAAGTGGTCTGAAAATTGCCATAATACCACATATCGCAATAAATGTTAGTGCAATAATCGCACAACAAAAATTTGATATTGTGACAGCCCTACGCACGATTATCCCGATTACAATTAAAATATTGAGACTGTTTGTTTGAGTGCAGATCATCCTTTGAGGAACGAAGATAGCCTGACTTCAGCCATCGGGTTGATTTGAGCTGGCTAAGAGACATTTGATGGACCACGTACGAGGAATTGGGCCCAGAACAACAACATGACAAAACCTAGAAAAAAAAAACAGTAGGATTGTTGACAATGAAGTCTTATTGTGTCATCTACACAACAAGACAAAAAAAATCCAACCATAACAGAATAACACAAAACATATTTCTGAAATATTAAGTACTTCATTAAGAGACTAGAAATTGAAATATCAGTTAAATTATTGAAATACTAGGATATTACACAATAGACCCGGGTGTTGACCTGATCGTCTCTGGCAGACCCAGGTCTATACCTCTGCAGGTCTCTAACGGACCCAGGTCTTTATCTCTGCAGGTCTCCAACAGACCCAGGTCTCTATCTCTGCAGGTCTCCCACAGACCCAGGTCTATACCTCTGCAGGTCTCTAACGGACCCAGGTCTTTATCTCTGCAGGTCTCCAACAGACCCAGGTCTCTATCTCTGCAGGTCTCCCACAGACCCAGGTCTATACCTCTGCAGGTCTCTAACGGACCCAGGTCTATACCTCTGCAGGTCTCTAACGGACCCAGGTCTTTATCTCTGCAGGTCTCCAACAGACCCAGGTCTCTATCTCTGCAGGTCTCCCACAGACCCAGGTCTCTATCTCTGCAGGTCTCCCACAGACCCAGGTCTCTATCTCTGCAGGTCTCCCACAGACCCAGGTCTCTATCTCTGCAGGTCTCCCACAGACCCAGGTCTTTATCTCTGCAGGTCTCCCACAGACCCAGGTCTCTATCTCTGCAGGTCTCCCACAGACCCAGGTCTCTATCTCTGCAGGTCTCCCACAGACCCAGGTCTCTATCTCTGCAGGTCTCCCACAGACCCAGGTCTTTATCTCTGCAGGTCTCCCACAGACCCAGGTCTCTATCTCTGCAGGTCTCCCACAGACCCAGGTCTAGATCTTTTGGAGGAGCTGCTGGTTTTGTGGCACTGTAGCACCCGGAGGGGCGGTGCTGAGTCTCTGATATATACAGCAGTGACACGTGTAAAGGCGCCAGAGGCGCGTGGGGCTCTTATGGTGCCATAGCAGCGTGGGCGGGTGCTAAGTGGTCTTTGGTGCGCGAGCGGTGGGGGGGACTCACCCAAACTGCCGGTAAATCCGTCCATTTTCCTGGGTAAAAGCGGGAGTCCGGGCCGGAGGCCTGCGGGAGGCGGAGCGCGCTGCGGGCCTCCGTCCGGGGCTTTCCACCTCAGAGGCGATAAGCGCAGCAGTTTGGGGGTTAAACCCGCGGTGCTGCCAGCTGCGTCCGTCAGTTGGGCCGAAGAGCCTCCGCGTTCCTGCAGACTGTAAGAAGAACCCGCTCGGACAGGAACCGAACCGACAGCCGAAGCGAGAGGAGCCGCAGACACGAAGGACCGATGCTGCTGCGCGTTTCCGACTCCGCCTCCCCCGGAGATGGAGGGAGCGAAAGGGGGGAGGGGGGAGAGGATCGAGGAAGGTCAAGTTTCAGTGTTTTCACTGTAGATGTTGAGCTGCAGCGCCGCTGGGAGGCGATCAGCAGCATCAATGACTGGTTAGAAAAAGGAGGGTTAGGGTTCACGCATATGAATATTTAGATTTATGTATAGTGACTCTCGCTAATGAAGCTTGGGACATCAGCTTGCTTCTTATGCTTTTATTGATGAGCAGGAAAACAAGCTACCATTGAAACCACTGACTGTTTATGTGACGACTGAAACCATTGAATGTTTATAAGAACACCAAAACTATCGACTCACCAGGCGGCATGCTGGTGTTAGGTGGTGCGGGTTGGTGTGGTGGTTAGCCCTGTGGCGTCTATGAAGGTCTTGAGTTTGAACCCACCAGCATCTTTGACCTGTAGATCGAGAGCTTTGTCTTCCGGGTCATCTCTCTTTTCGTCACAGCGGTAAAGCGAGTGCAATACCGCCCCCGCTGCTCCGATTCTCCATCCAAACTCACACTCCATCTTCCCCTCACTTGTGAACAAGACCCCGAGGTACTTGAACTCCTTCACTTGGGGTAAGGACACATTCCCTACCTGGAGTAGGCAATCCATCGGTTTCCTGCTGAGAACCATGGCCTCAGATTTAGAGGTCATGCGTCTTCTCCAGGTCCACAAAACACATGTAGATGAGCGTACTCCCAGGCCCGCTCCATGATCCTGGAAAGAGTAAAGAGGCTGAGTAGTGTGATACCCCTTCTTTTATAAATGTTAGTCTGTAATCAATCGTGATCAATTCAACACAAAGGTTTTACATACATGTACTCATCTTAATGTGTTCAAAGGGACAAATACAAAGGGAAACACTGTGACCAAACTTCAGTTTTATTTAGGTGAATATAAAAAGCCATAAAAATTTCACTATATAAAATCCAATCAGATTAAAAATGAGACAAAAACCTCAATGAATTCATAATAATAATTCATCAACAGAAAATATGAAATCAGTTGAAGCAGAAAGTCCCAACAAACTCAAAATCTTCTCCGGTTTATTCCCGTCGGTTCAAAATCTTCTTATTCATACAAAATATTTTAACAAAAACATAATTCACTCAAAGCTCCAGGATCCAAAAAGTCTTCATATTCAATCAAATATGTGATCACATGACATTTAGTTCCCATTCATCTTCTGTGGTTTCTGCGGCTCAGTGGTCAGTACGTAGAAATAGAAGAGGAGTAGAACAGACCGGTTCACTGGTTGTTGTGGTGACGGGACTTCACAGAACAGTTTGTTTGACTGGGGGGGGGTCACTGGTAAAGCGTTAGCATTGAAGCAGACTTAGCATGCTAGCTAACTAGGGAGCAGTCTGCGTGTCAAATCATTTTAGTCTAACTCCCCTTCTACTCCTTTTCTTTTGAACATTTTGAGCATCAATTAATAATTGCAGTCATTTAACAATCACACATCGGTCCTATTGCCCTGTAAATCACAGTAAACTGAATAATTTCAGAACTTACAAAAGACCTGAGTTCAACCTGAAGAAGATGACGATGATGAAGGACGCACAGAGCATGATAGAGGAACTGAAGGCAGTGTGGTGAAGAGTTTCATCATCGAACAGATGAAGACACAGCAACATAAAAAAGGCCCAAAGAAAGATTTATGCATATTCAGCAGCATGTTTTCAGTAACCATAGCAACAAAGTCATCATGAGATCCTCAAACTGATGACAGGAAGTAAAGGGAGGTACAGCAAAGTTACTGAAGAAGAAGGCACATCTGAAGAAATTTGGTCCACCTGGCAGAGGCCACGCCTCCTCTGAAAGAAGCTCCACCCTCTGTGGGTGTGGCTTCAGTAGCTGAAATTGACCTTCTCGATGTCCGAGATCAGAGTCCTGGCCAGGTAGATCCCCACCATCTGATCCCAGGTAAACAGAAACATCAGGTACAGCACTCCAGTGGTAACCAGTGGAAACCATAATAAACACATAAAATGTGTGTAGTACTGTGTGTGTTGTGTGTGTTTTGTGTTGTGTGTGTGTTGTACAGCTAATTAAAGAATTACTGGGTAGTGACCTGCAGAAGAGAGATGACGATGAAGACTATGGCTACCGTGTAGAGGTTGCCAGGTAACCAATCCTCCAGTGCAGCAATGCAGCCTTTGGTGTAGATATGCTCAGTCCACTCACTCTGTGCAGGAACAGAAGAACATTACAGAAGCGCTCCCTCAGGAACCAGGAGAGGTTTGCACCATGCTGGCTAGTGAACACTAGTATTCAACTTGTATTCAGCTACGGCTTTATTTGTACAGAAAAGTTCTGGTTCTGTATAACCAGACATCCGTTCCACCAGACATGACATAGGGTGCTCCTCCTGTAGGTGTTTATGGTGGTCATGAAATAGATTCATGTTAATTTATCTGGTTCTAATGTTCTATACCAGGGGTATTCAACTGAAATGTAAATAGCTCCAGTTAGAGAACATTTCTAGAAGCAAATGTCCCGAAAAGCATAATGTAACTATTTAGGGTGATTAAATAGAGGGATAGAGTTCTAGCAAGATCTGCACCTAATCACATAACAAAGAATTGAACATATATGTATGACTGCAAATATAAATAATGTTCTCTCAATTAATAAATAAAAGTAGGGCTGCATTTCAAAATAAGAGAAAATAAATAAAGTGCTTCAATAAAAAAAAAAGTGACTCTAAAATACATTTTAACTATTGAACAGTGTTATAGAATATAGAATATATATATATATATATATATATATATATATATATATACACACATATATATATATATATATATATATACACATATATATAATCTCCACCCCCCACTTAAGAATTCAGCTCTAGTTTGTCCTGCCAACATTTTAAACCTGGACGTGGATGCAGTGCCGTCCCCCTCCTCGTGAGGAGATGCTCATTGTGCTTCATAATGGCGTTTCACATCGACACTTTGAATAGGTGCTTCGGGTTCTAAGCATATGAGACTCTGGTTTAGTGATCCAGGGTGAAGTATGAACAGAAACGTGTCCATTCATTCTACTTTCGCTGTCCGCTATCTTTTTGCAGAGAGCCATTTGTTCCTTATTTCTCTCACACATCCCTTTCTCTCCCTTTCTCCCCCTCACTCGTCTTCTTAAATTTAGCCATCTCTGAGACGATATCTCCCTGCCTGGAATGCAAAGATTCCATTGGTCGAGTGGTATCACATGGGATGGCGTAACACAAATGCTACTAGTCTAAAATACTGCAGACCACCAAAGCTGCATCAGGTTTAAAATCACAACTGTCTGTTTTAGCTTAAGGACCGGGTCCGGATGGCATGACTTCTGGATCCGGATCCGGGCTGCGGCCCAGCAGGTAACTTCTGTTCTATACTTTGCTGTGATCACATGGTTCTCTTTATGAGCACTCAGAGCAGTTTGGAGAATTCTCTCTATCAGCAATGTATAACATGTTTCTGACAAACGTAGACCAGTCAGCTTACATCAGGTCATCTTCCTCACATCCTCCTCGTCACAGTGACAGGGAGGCGGGCCTTCACCTCTATAAACAGGAAGCCACATTGAAAGAACAGGGAGTGACCTCACCGTTGGCCGATTTCTCACGTCGTATCCACACTGACTGTTCAGCACAGAGTCCTAAAACAAACACAATTACTTTCATTCTATGAGGCTGAATCAATTATTATTATCGATATTAATCAGTAGTCATCGGCGACAAACTCACAGCAGGATCTGTGATGCAGCAGGAGAAAGGAACTCCACACTTCTCTCTGCTGCGATGGGTTCCGTTACAGCTAAAATAAACATTTTGATTCCAGTCGTTTGGTCCCTGAGCTCCACAGCAGTGATTCTGTTAAAGAGGAACATACTCACAATTCTGATAGTAGAAGTAGATGATAAAGGTTCTGTTAGTAGAAGATGTAAAGGTTCTGTTTGTGGAGGAAGATGATAAAGGTTCTAATAGTGGAGAAACATACTAAAGGTTCTGTTCATGTTCTGGGGGATATGTTACCATCCTCTGCAGAGAGTCGATGAGGTTCTGCAGGTCGATGTCGTCTCTGTAACCTTTAACATTGGCTAAGAAGAAGTCGTTGATCCATTCTCGGACCTGACTCTGAAACACCACGGCCAGAACCGCAGCCGTCAGCTCCAACAAGAAGATGAAGCCGATCACACCAGAGAACTGAGAAGAACAAAAAGAAAACAACTGGAACGTTGAGAAAAATACGTAGATGGAGAACACCTGAAAAGAAAAACACTAGAACTTAAAAACCCCCAAAAGAAACTGAGGAGACATGTTTCTAATCGATATACTTTAGAAGACGGATGTTTTTAACGTACAAACTTTAGAAGACAGATGTTTTCTCTCAGAGCTCCCACACATCCGGCAAAGCCCAGGATGAATGTGACGCCACCAACGACCAGGACCAACCAGACCGGATCAAAACCATGCAGCTGGGTTACCTGCGTCAGATCCAACAGGACCCCCTGAAATCCACCACACACAGGCATATATATATATTAGTGCTGAGCAGAGATGAAAAAAGCATGATTTTTCTGTGATTAATCGCATTATGTACAAAATTCTAAAAAAGATAGTGTACCAAGTGATGACCAATGACCAAAAGTTGTTGTCGGTTGTACGAAGTGAATGAAAGACTTTTCCAAGAGAACAGACTTGAGATAGTTAGGCAGATAATTACTAAGTAAACCTGGAGACACACTGAGCCTCTCATTGTGCACGCTCCGCCATCTTGGTCATGAAGAAAGAAAAAAGAATCACTTCAGGTTGAGCAGATACACAATGACTAAATTAACTTTCAACGTCCACTTTTTTATCCGTTCCTCCAACTTTACATTGTCTTACTCCTGCACCCAGCTAGTTAGACACACAAGGTCATTTACATTTCAGACGATGAAGAACTTCTCTTCTTCTGAACAATATGACCAAGAGAGAACCTTTCACAGGTGCTGATG